TCCCAGAGAAAACCTTGAGACCCCTAAACCCTAAACGCGACACACAAACCCTGAGTCCTGAAGCCTGGATCCAAATCTCTGACCCCCAAAGCCCCATGCCAAGAGACGCTTTTGGCAAAACTGCTCGGCTCTGAGCGAGCGGAGCTTCAAAGCTGGGAGCCAATAAACAACAAGGTTAAGGGGATTCAGTAACAATGGAAAGGACAATGGAAAATGGAAACTACTACAGATTACTTAGGGTTATACTATAGTAGCTTCCATATTCTTTTCCATTATCCCAATATGACCCTATATAACCCCAATATAACCCTATTAGGGTGTAGGAATGAAGGTTTAGGTCTTATTGGTGAAGTTTTAAGGTGTAATGTAGCAAATCCCACCCTAAAGCCTTACAACGTACAAAGGACAAAGAACAACGAAAATTCAACATTGAGAAGCTCTTAAACATCAACTTATTCAATGGAAACTCCTTCATGACATGAAAGACAGCAAGTACCTGTCTGACAACTGCTTGCACTAAGAAGGGATGACAAAGACAAAACATGGCACCGCGAGCATCCGCAAGCTCAAACTTGAACACAGCAAGTCATGTACTGCGCTCTCACACGCAGAATCTTTCTGCCGCGATGCTGGAATCACGTAGGTCAGATGCAAGCGCTTAGTTGCCCGACCGGCCACCTTTGAGGGGCGCGGCAAAGCACAGACTGCATCTGGGCAGGTGTCCCGCACTCCATGCGAGGACGATAACGTCAAAATTTCCTTCGGATCCGGTGCATGCACGGTGCCTCCCAGTCTTTGACAAGAAAGAGCACCGCATGGCACGCTCCTCTGCACAAATGCTATCTCCACGTGACTGGCGGCGACGAGCAGTGGTTCTCATCTGCTGTTCGGCTCACCAGCCACGAGATGGAAAATGAACAACGTCGTGTACATCATTGCAAATGCAAGATACCACAAATCAATGTGGTTTGCTTGGTTCAAACTAACTACTTCACACAGAGGTCTCTCCCTCGGGCTTGGATTCAGCCTTCACAGCAGGTCCGCTGAACATTCCACCGTGCTCCGCCCAGTAGTAGCATGGTGTCAGCAACGTCCAAAACATTACGTAACCCGCATGGATCTGGAAGGGCAGCAGTGGGTCCTGCGATATGAAACACCGTGACATGCTTTTCTCGGAAAACAATGCCCTCACGTGAGATGAAACAATAGCACTCGCTCTACAGCAGTCCTCGATCGGGCGGTAGAAGCCGAAGCCAGCAATGACGGCACCCAGGTTTCCGCCCGCACCGACCAAGGCGCTCACAATGGCCAATTGTTGCTTATTCATAAATGGCACGATACCATAAGAGGTACCCTCTGCCATCTGCACGAACAAGCTGAAGCACAACAGGACGGCCAAAGCCACATACCACGGCTGGCTGTTGTCCACAAGTCCGAAGCAGAACAAGAACACTGCTTCAAAGATTTTGATTGTTGCATGGATGCCCCACCCGGAGATGAGCACACCCGAGTCCCCCAAAAAGAACTGCACCTCCATGACTACCGGCTGGCGACACCATCAGCAGCGCCACCAGGATCGCCTCCTTCATCAGGTACTTGAAGAAGATCCCTGAAATCCAGACCTAAAAGAATGCGTCCCTTGGAGCGGGACTCGCGTCGAACCTTGGCCAGGTGGCTGAGAACGGCACCGTTGTAAAATGAGCTGTTGGTAGTAGCCCAGCCGAGACGCCGTTGCAGCAAGTTCCTTGGAGTGGCCGGCCTAGTACCTAAGAAGGCCGGGCAGTGCCATGCCAAGTGATCCCAGGAGGGGACAAGTTCCTGCGAGCAAAAAGGGCATTGCCACTGAGGCCTGCCCCCCGTGATCATGGCCTCGTAGGCAGCCAAACTGTTAGAGGCACCCACTAACACTCCTGCGCGTTCAAGATTGCAATGCCTAAACACCTCAGAAGTGCGACGCAAAGCAGCATCATCAAGCGCCATGCCCCTGCAAGCAACACTATCCTTACGAGGGTTCTGCATGAAGTCCTCCCACAGTTTGAGCCTCCAAGACTTCCTCGTGAGATGAAGCACCCTATCCTTGGGATCCCTCAGCATACAGAAACGACCAACCAAATCGTGGGTCCAAACGTAGTCACCTAGTGAAGTCCACCCGAGCTGGCGCAGGGAAAGGTCAACATTACGAGCCCAAGTGTTGATGGAGCCAGCAACTGAAAAGGCCAAACCATGCCGCACTGCTTCACAAAGCCCAGCCATCGCAGGCCCGGTGCAGTAGAAGGAAGCGTCTTGGCCATGGCCGTCCAACAAAGTGCTGAGCGCAACGGCGGCCTTCTTCTGAACGCCACCGACGAGCCTATAAACTTTGGCAAGATCCCGGAACCAATCCGACGGAACCTGAAACAACCAAATACCCCAACAAGCCTTAGAAAGCACCCTAGTGCGGAAAAGCGACTTACGGAGCCAAACCGGCAAAGCAGCGCGCGCCAACTTGCGGGCCATGACCATACCAGCATCCCAACGCACGCCAGCAGAAAGACCGGGCTGACGCACAGCAGACGTCAAGTAGTCGACACCAAGAATGCGAATCTGATTGACAACCTGATCCCTCCGGTAACCCCTTCTCTCACAGGCAAGCCGCTGCCAGCCATCATGAACGAGGATACGGGTCTTACTGGGGTTGTCAACAAGCCCAAGCCGAGTCGACCAAAGAGACCAACGGTCACGCGCCCTGAACAAGGAGCGAATGTCGGGGGCGGTAAGGAACCTATCATCAAGAAAAACACACTGACCGACGCCAAGGGAGGCAACGTCAAGCACAGCATCATTCAACGCGACCACCAGCCCCAGAGGCGAAAGCGGGTCCCCTTGAGGAAGACTGGACGCGACAAGCTCGGGCCGTTGAACAACGGCACGCCCAAGCACCAACCAGCGACGCTGATCGCACCAAACATGCCTCGCCAAGCCAAGAA